CACTCTTTTTTTTAGTAAATAACGAAGGAGTGTGTAGCCTATATTTTTATTGCCGTTTTAGCAGATGCGTGCATTTGAGTTTCTCAGTGCATTATTTGGATTATTTTAATTAATGAAAGAAAAAAAACGAACTAAACAGTAAGTAAATCTCATAGGACTTGTTTGGTTCAAGAAGGAATATTTTACTAAAAGTTATCAGGGGGTCTGCGGCCCTACTTGGCGCAGCAGAGGCCAAATGTAACCGTCCAGAGGTTACCTCATATATCAAAGAGGTGAAACGGATTCATGTTCATTTTGACTTTCAGTATAAAAACCTAGACCTGCAGATTGAAGATATTTGACATGCATAAGTGTAAATGCAGCGGTAAATAAACTCACGTGTGGCAGCAGTTCAGCAGTGCGGTTTGAACTCTACTAAAGGCCTTGTGAGCGAAACAAATCAGTCATTGCAAACCGAGCAGGTTTCCGTCTGACTGCTGTTTGTGAATGATGGGAGGTTTTAGATGCAAAAAAAAACAACCAACAACTACAGCTGCATTTGTTTTGGATGTCTTCAGGGGACATTTTGCTGCACGAGCAGACCCCACAGGTCCTGCAGATGCATGATGGGGACGGTCTGGCTGGTTCAGCCTGCTTCGTGTATGAAGGATAAAGAATTACAGCAGCACTGACCTGTTATGACTGACTGAAGCATTGCTGCTGTCAGATGTTTATTTATTTATGTGATTCCCTGATGACGTGAGCCCCCCCACACCAAAAAAAGAGACCCAGATTCCAATGAAGATCATTACGCCATTGTTTTTAGCCTACGTGCAGGAAGATCAATGGCAGCGTGCATGTCGAGTTATTACCTATTCGTATTAAGATTACTATAAATTCGACACGTTGTATTTTTTTAGATACAAAATAATCAGAAAAAGTGATCATTGTGAACCATTTAATAGAACGTAATAGTGAAATATATATAATCTATTATAAATACAATTATTCGGACAACATTCAAATCAGCAATAATAATAACACTCGTAATAATAATGATATATCATTATTACGAGTTTTTATTATTATTATAATACACATGATTCATAATTGTTAACAATAGCAACAATTATGATTCATGTGTATTATAATAATAATTTAGTTTTGTGTTTGTTTGAGCTCCTGCGCCTCCTCATGTGTGTTTTGATTCAGTGGCCTTCAGGCTGTCTGTCTGCCTGTCTGTGTGTGTGTCTGCGTGTACGTGTGTGCGTGTGTGTCCTTGCAAGGCGGAGCAGGCGGTGAACGCTTACACGTGATTGTCAATTTCAAGCCTGTGTTGATGAGATTTTAATGAGTCAGTAAAACTAAAAATTCCAGCGCACAAACGCTCCCCAGGGCCACCCGTCAGATGAGTCAAGCCCATAAAAGAGAACGTAAACAATGCGCACCACTGCCACTGCACCTTCCGCAGGGGTTTAACTGCAAAATGATGTTTAAAACCACAACATATGCACATAAAGCTGCCTAACAATAATAATAAAAACTAGATTATTGCTTTTAAACAGACATCTGTGGGATTGATGCGGCACTCAGGGGTCAATGAAGGAAAAGCCTGTCACGGCTGAGAATCATTTTTCATTGTAAGGACAAGACAGGAGGAGGTGATGCGGGTCAATAGAGAGGATGTCAACAATGCACTTTAGGAAAGGACGGCGAGAAGCCTGCAGTGAAGCCTGTCACGGCCTTATCTAAAAGCACCTTCACTGGGACTGTGGACCGCAGACCGGAGCTGGAGGGCTCGTGTATTGTTGTGGCAGTTTACAGGTTCTGCAGCGTTCAAATGAAAAGACTCCCAGAGGAGGAGAGGACAGGAAACGCTGCCATTACCCGCAAACGGGCGCACCGATAAGCGCATTCAAAAAGATCCGTGTTGTGTTGGAGGTATTTTTATGTTCATTACTTCCCATCTATTTCAAATATACATCGCCTCAGGGGATCACAGGTGTGTAGGTGCCTGCAGTGCTCACACTATGATGAGCATTTGCAAAGAATAATCAGTGCAATGTACTGTTGCGTTTTAGTGAGAACCCGATAGCTCACATCTCATGTAGTAAACGTTTGTCAGATACCAACGAATTTACAGTGGATTGATTCACTGAGGCGGAACTATTTTCTTGCGCAGTTTGTATTCTTAAGAAGCTTCTTTTTTCACTAAAGCATCGCTGATTATTTTTATATATAAAAGCCACATTATTAAAGTGTTCTATTTCACTTTTAGCATATTTTTGCAGCTGAAGCAAAATATATTTAAAAAAATCGGCGTTCATGGTTTACGTCCAAAATCGGAGGAAAATCCCCGGATATTAAATGTAATCTGGGGTTTGAGGTCCTGCAACACTTATTTAAATTAGCAACAAATATGTATTTGATATCAAAACCTTACAAAAAGGACATTCAAATAGTATAAACAGAATATTGGATTACACACTAAAGGCGTTTAACTTTAAGTGCAGACAATTTGTGGCAACTTAAAACTAATATATGAAGGCCTAATTATAAGACTCTCTCACTCTTCAGTCTGAAGTGTGCATGTGTGTGTGCGTGTTTAACACAAGCAAGGTGAAACAAAATATTAAATGTATGTCCTCTGATGAATTGCATGATGATTTGTTTCATGCGTCACTGCTGATATCTGATTGATTCATTTTTTTTTAAAGAAAACGTTATTTGTATTTTCACCTATTCCAACATTTTACAGCCTGAATCATTGTCCGCGTTGTGACATCTATTGAGCTTTTACTTCTTTACATTTTGTGACAACACGTCTCTCTCGAGTAGAAGAGCGTTAACATCAACAATGGAAGAGTCAGATTTCTCTTAATTATTCGGTCCCAATTACACTGGTTTTCTAGCACATAACCACCAGCTGAAAAAGGAGGAAAAAAAGGCTGATATTTTGAAGGAAGCATGATATTTAGCCTCTTATATGAAATGATTAAAACATAGATTTTGCTATCCAGCAGGCCTAAACAACCATAGTAGCCTACGTTAATATTTCATTACAATATAATTCGAATTTAGTTTCCTGAGAATATGTTTTTATGACAATGAATCAAAAGATGTGCTTTACATTAAACAAGTCTGTCAAAATGTGCTCACAAGCAGTTAATACAACATCAACTTCTCCCTGGCTTGATTTGAGATATTTCCCCTAAAGTAGAGCTACTCATTGTGCATTACATTTGACATGAAATACATAATATTCTTATCTTAAGGACTCATGGAATCATGAGCTTAAATTGACCGTTCGAATCGTTTCATCCCCTTAAAGTGTTTGTTTAGCTGCATGACATGTTCTTTTTATTGCTGTACATTCGTGGTCCAAAAATCCCGGCGAGCTTTGCTTTCTTTGAGTGCCAACAGTGAGCCGGATCACAAGGCTCGCCTAATTGTTGTTGAGCGCTACGCGGTGCACCTGCGAGAGGCTCCGGGCTCTCTGTGTGTTTTCTGCTCTCAGCGCGGTTTCAGGCGCCCAAACAAGCTCAGAGCCACATCTGTTTCCAATCCAGAGTCCAGGACGATCACAGCGAGACATTTAAATGTCCCGTAGGTGTTGTCCCAGAGACAGACAGAGGCGATCCCGCCCTACACCCGGGCCGCTCACTGAGACCCGCAGGCCTCCGCACAAGTTGAATGTCAAACCGCTCAAAAATATAACCAGTGGTAAATAAGTTCATTTAGGACAATTTGAGCTACTTTCCTAAAGTATTTATACTTTCTGCTGTTTTATTGTGTTTTAATACTGTCATTTTCAATCCACCATTTTTCTGACAGCGTGCAATACTTTACAGATTCATATTTTCGATATTTACTCGCGCTAAATTAATAAAGATCTGAATAAATCTTCCACTACTCGTAAATTCCCCCAAATCTCGCTAGCTGAAATTTTGCGTAATGTTGGGCCCAAGACGGGCTATTCAACACGACGCATGTTATTATAAAGTATATATGTGCATTATAATAATTCGATACTACGTGAGGAAATTACTACATTTATAATTACAGTCACGGACTTATTTTTGCAAACGACCGATGAAACTCTGTAAGGATTAGTAAGGCTCACGTGGTTATCCCCTCACAGCAGTTTAAAGATATACTCTCGAATTAAGTGGAATTCACAATTCACAAATTGAAGCAAAAATGTGTTGAGAAAGAATACACACCTGGAGGTTTAAATAGCATCTGTAAAATGGTGTTTTCACTGTATCAGCGCAAACAAACCCCCATAACGACTATCATCAGGACCAGAGCAGATTCAGGCTCTACGCGCTCACTGCGCCCTCGAAATGAACACAGTCTGGACGGACAAGGGCCGTTTGGGAGCGGAGCTCTGCGCGCCAGGCCCGAGGAGAGACGCACTTCCTGCCGAATAAAAGAGCGCAGTGTGCTCGCTAATAAAAACCCTGGAGAGCCGGAGCGAGCGGAGGGAAGAGAAAACGACAGGAGCTG